TTACAAACCTTCAAATTCCAAGTAAAATTCTTAATATAAAACAAAAAAAATCTAAATCTCATATTCTGTAGTGAAGCCTTTGAAAAGTGCATTCCCCTTCATTACTGACTTTTAGAAATGAAGTATAATATTTGCACAGTATATGAGCTGTTTGGTGGTATGTTGAAATTATGAGCTATTGCACAACTCTTTAAGAGACTTATACACATGAAATAGAAGAGTTCAAATAATTTGATTGCAGTTGGTCAATCTTAGGAGAGCCAAACAAATTGAACATTGGTTAGCATTAAAAATATGGGAGATTATGAACTGCAAGACTCGTTTATTCAGTTTCTTTAATGTATTGAAAAAATAATTTTTTCCATATTGCAGCTGATTTATAAAAGCAACAAGCCTTGAGATTTTTGCTTTAAACTATATTTAAGGCGCAACTCTACTTTAATGCTTTTATGCCATTTTCACATGAAATCCTCAGTCAAATGTTTTTGAACATGATACGTTGATTTTGAAAAATGCAGAAGAGATTCTTTTATATAAAAAGCATTTATTACAATATTTATTAATACATGGAACAATATTAGACATTTTCAGAAGTAAACTCCAGTCCGTTTTCATAAACATCAGATGTATCCAATGATGTCATTGCATATGATAGGCTGTCGACTCCCCGTCTTCATGACAGCGCTGAACTGATAAAAGTCTGGTCCCAATTGGTGCAAACTTGTGTGAGACTGGTGAAAGAACGGTTTGGGGGCTTGAAATCCCACAGGACAAGACATGCGTTTAGTGCAAGCCTTTCTCTCCTCAACTCCCTTTGACATGCCCGCTAATTTCCGCCGCATGTTGACCAGAAAGTCCTTGGCTATTTTGCGGCTGGCGTTCGGCTTGAGTTCCGCAGAATCTGGGCACTCTGGAAGATCCATCCAGTTCTTAATAAGATCTGCAAAGCTGTTGTCCCCAAGAACCAACGGTTGCCTGTTACGGCCTCTGGTTAACAAAGACGTGGTCCAGTCCGTTGGGTCGCTGGCCTCAAACGATGTCCAGCGCTCCAGGCATGCATCTGATGTGGATTTGGGTCGGATTCGGTTGGTGCGGACGCACGCGGACGATGAAACGCGCACATTCCTCGTACGCCTCAACACCACACCCTCGTCCTGCCACGATGCTTCAGAGTATCCCGAATCAAAGTCCAGGCTTTTCACGCTGCTCGGGGAGCCTTGAGGTAGATGGCCAACACCGGCTTCCTCATCCTCCTCTTCCTCCAGCGGACTGGCCAGGCAGCAGGCCGAATCATAGGTGCTGGCATCGGAGATCCGCAGGCGACTGAGCTGCTCTCGCTGTTGCACCCTTTTTTGACAGGCTCGAGTCACGTACGAGCACTTTGATTGGTCGGTGGGTTCTCGTATCTGCTTCAGATCCTGCAGAGACCTCATCATGTAGCGCATCTGGTCCCGGAAACAGTCATCTGAACTGCGAACGCACAGCTGGAGGAAAAAAACAAGATGTTAGTGTATTGACTACACAAACTTCAGGCTACGTCATCCATAAGGGCTCTAGATGCAGATGCATTTTTCATAGAATTACCATCGGTGTACCTTTTTTTTTTTAAACAAACCGCCTCGCATTGGAAAACAAACCATGGACCAGGCCAATCAAACAGGCCATAAAGTTGTAAATTTTCCCCTCAGATGAAAGCAGTCCAGAGTTTTCCACAGTTTAATCCAGCAGCATTAATCAACAACATGAGTAGGAGAGAAACAAACACACAATCCATTTGGCAGAGTCTCAGGGGAGAAGAGTAAGAGCATGATGCATGCAGATACGGCCGCACCGATTGTGGGAACGAGAAATAAGAGGAGTCCCTTCCTGCACTGCTTCTTGAGGTGGGAGAAGTGTGGCCTGCCTTTCTTCCAGTTCATGATTAATGCACGGATTGTTGTGGTCAAAAAGGATATGATGTAATTTTTTGGGACAATGCTGCACTGTTTTGGCTATAGTTCACAGTGAAATGGCGATCAGACTAATTGTGTACATGAGTCTATTTTGGAGGATTTAATACAAAGAAAGAAAGAAAACCACCTTTACAGTAATGCACTTATGCATTGCTGATGTAATTCCCAATTATAAGTAGATATTCTAGTGTCATTGCTATAATTACATATTTTTATAGAGAAATAAAATATAAAATAAAAAACAGATACATTAAAATATCGAAAAATTGTTAAATAAAAATAAATGCTATTTTAGTATCATTGAGATGCTATTATATATTTGTAATAGTTTTACATATTTTTGTATTTTCCATTTTCATTTTAATAAAGTTTAGTCATTATTATTTTTTCTTTTTATTAAATGTCTATTCAATTTGTATTGATTTTTATTTCAATTTTTGCTTTAGTTATTTTAGCACATCAAGTTAAACTATATGAAAATGAGAAGAACATTTATTTCAAGTAAAATCTTATTTCCAGTGGTTTTATTTTTATAACAACAACAACAACAACAACTCTCCAGAATGTCTTGCACCCTCAATTCTAACAAACACAAAATTCCTCTTGACCAGGCTTGGCAATATCAAAATAGATTCAATCTTTCTAAGGTCCACACCTCTTAACAACCAGAAAGTCCCTGTTTTCCAGATAACATCCCCCTACTCTCAGGTGATTTACTTTACTTTCACTTCCAGCACTGCTGTAATATCTAAGCATTTGAACTTTTTTTGGGAATGCTTTTGAAAAGCAGGAAAAAACACCCATGAATGTGTATAGACTGGTTTGAGGCAGAGCTATAGGACCAGTGACCACTCCATGATGTTATCACAGCTTTGAGAATTTAGCCATTTGGCTCCAAGCTGCAGGTGGGTCGGTTGCCGGTGGGTGTGTGTGTGTGAAAAGCCAGCGGTTGCCAGAGGCCACGAAAAATGCATAGAGCTGGTTGGCGGTTAACCTCCATCACTGGTGAAAACCTACATTTAATTTCACAATTATGGTTCAAGATAGTTTATAATGCCTGAGGGAGGCACAAAAGGCATCAGTGCATGAGTCACATTAATATTTGAGCTAAAACTATAGAAATGTTAATGCAGAATATGAACAAATGAATTCAAGATGCCACATACAGCTTTTCAGACTCTAAACTGACATTTAAGTGAAAGTGTACAAAGAACAACACCTTACAGTTTTGGTGCCAAAACCACTATGGTTACCAAGGTAAATGTTTTGCAAAGGTTTCTGCAAATCGTCCTCTCAGAGACAGAAGTGAATTGACTATTTGATTCTGTTACTAGTACAGAACTCAAAACAACATGCTGATGACTTTTTGCCAGCCCAAGTACACGGTTAATAAAAGAAAAACCTAGAATAACTAGTATGTGTTATAATTTCATATTCCGTATACTGCCGTTCATTCAATATGACTATGTTCTTTGTTAAATTGCACGAATTTTAGACTAAAGACGCAACCCTTGTAAGAAATATGATCTTTTTAGACTATAATATCGTCTCCAGATGAACAAGCAAGCAAGCAAAGTAAAACACTTACCATGTTTTTTTTTTTT